GGTTGCTGATAATTGCCAGTGTCCGAAGGCCTCGATTGAATTTTTGAATTTTTGACTTTCTAGGGGTCTGTGACGCCATCTTTTTCTTGTGGATACAAACAAGGCTGTGCAAATGTGTCACAGTCACGGTGTCAAGAGTTTAAATTTCCTTCTCTTCTGCCAAGATGCATTTCACTCGGCTGCACTGTAGGAGAGAGATTTTAATGATTTCAACGTGGATATGACAGCAGCAAGACGCAAGCCGATAGAGCAAGAGGAGAAGAGTTTGAACTTTTTGATTCAGAGTTGCGCGCAGCAGCTGCCAATTGAATCGTGTTACGATCTTGTCCTAGTGACGGTGCCCTGCGATCCAAGCTGGCAAATGCGTCTATTTATAGTACAGTTTTTGGGTTGGTCCTTCCAGTGGCCCGTGTTTGTTTGCGCCTGAGGCGGCCGTACATCGGAGATTGCGGCGACTATCGGTGGCGACCGCCCTGCCAGGAACAACACTGCTAGGGTCCTCTGCGCACTCGAGTGACATTCTGGCTTGTTCATCACATGACAGTGACTACCAGTAATGGATAAATGAACTGCCTATTCTGGTACATTATCCTCACGATCACATGCATTGAAACACATGATAAATCTCCCATCTTTCCTACCCCGCTTGACTGAGCTTGTTCTCCCGCTGGTCGTCGTCGTGGTCTTTCTCCGCCTTGCGTTCCACCGTCATTTCTGCATCCTTTGCGGTGCAAAGACGGTCAACGCCAGCCATGTGCTCCCATCCCCTTCTCGATCGGCTGATGACGCACCTCCGCTCCCTCTCCGTGCCTCGTCTGCTCCTCACCATTCTCTTGTCCCATCTCCTCATTACACGTCTGCTCTTGAGGCGCCTCCTTCCTTTTATCGCCCAACGACTCATCAACCGCTCCGTACTTACAATCACAAATGCAACCATCACAGATCCTCAAAAGGACAGGCTTGTCATGTGCATGAAAGGTCGCGTGGAGAATGCAGGACCATTGCCCGCTAAAATCGAATTCTTGGGCCCCGTCAAGTTATGTGTGGACGATGACAGATCATTGGGTGCGGGAAAACGCCGAGTGGTGGTAGAAGGCGGAAGGCGGCTGGTGATTATTGGTGAAGCAGATGGGATGCCAGCCATCTCAACATCAACAAGCGGGTCTGCTGACATTGACGCCAAAGTTACAGTGCGCATCCTGGACACGCAAGCTTTTGCCGCATTTGCAAAAACAATGATGGAATCCACAAAGTTTTCGTTAACTCTGCTTGCCACTGATATCAAAGTGGTTTCTTTCAACCTTCCCATCTATTCGACCAAGCTCCTCAAGACGGTCACCCTCAAAGGTTTGCAAAATCTGAATCAGATTCAGATCCTGAAGGCTGTCACGACGGGGGGAACACCGACCCACATCACGCTCAGCACCACATGCGAGATTTACAATCTATCAGACATCACACTCTCCGTAGGAACTGTGACTCTCGCTCTCTATCACGAAGACATTTACCAAGTGGGCACCGTCGAAATGAACAATCTCACGCTCCAACCAGGCACAAATAGGATAACCGCCACAGCTGCATATTCGCCTCAGACAACACCTGCAACTCAGTCTGGCCGAAAGCTGTTGGCATCTTACGTCACAAACACTCCAGCCACTGTAACGATCCGTGGTACGCAAACGTCAACGCCTATATCGTATCTTCGCCCTGCTCTTCAGTCGCTAAGTGTTACCACAATATTACCACCGGAGTCGCGCAAAATGATAGAAAAGACGCAACTCGTTATCGACCCGTTTCGTCTGACAACTAGGTTGCAGTCGGCTACCAAACTCGTCCTGTTCAATCCGATGCTTGCGCCTGTGACAATATTGTGGATGAAGGGTACTGTAACTTGTCGAGGGGAAGTGGTGGGCAATTTAGATGAGGATTTGCAGAGCAGGAATGAAATGGTTGTATTAGCTCCAGAGACCAGTGTACAAACTGGGATCATGGGTATGCGACTGAGAATAGCACCAGGGGCTTTGGGTGCCATTCTGACGGCTGCGATCGCCGAGGGTCGAGGGGATGGCCAGACACAGACTCCCAATCAAGATGGTGGCATCAAGCTCTTTGAGGTGGACGTTGAAAGTACCATCGGCTGTCGGGTCGGACAGTATGAGGTGGTGATTGATTACAGACAGGAAGGCGTACCTGTTGGGTTGGGCGGGTGATCACCGACCTCGTTTTTGCATGGACACTGTACCTGCTCTACTATGTCTCTTTACTGGCACCTGCTCTACCTTCATTTGTCTGGCATCACACCTTGAGGGAGTCTTGCGTTTTAATTTTTCTGTGGAGAATAATCATTTTGGCTATTAGCAGACCAAAAATTAAGTATTTCCTGTTACATTTACCTTTTTTAAAAACATATTTTGGATGGATTATACAATAGTACAGCAAACTTGTGAGATCCTTCTAGCTTGCTGTTGAAAACCAGTTTTGGTAGTCCGCTTTTAGACAGAGGTAGAGTATTATCTTTTCCTCGGACAAGCTATTGTGCCATTGGACATATGTATCTATAAAAGGTTTAACATACAAAGAGTGTACCAGTAAAAGCTAGTTCGGCAACTTGCATCATTGCAGCTCAGTCTATTTGTGAGATTTGTGTATTGATTATTCCAAGTTGATGGAACATCACGCGCCTACCAATTTTACCAGTTCTTAGTGTGCCCTTTTCACACCCCGCTGGCCCGCCCGCCCCTCCTCAACAGACTAATGCTCAATGCAGGTACAAGAACTGCAATGGCGAGTGTTGTTGAGATGCTGCCTCCTCTTATCCCTTCTCCCGACGGTCCAACCACAAGCCGATAGCCAAATTGTTAACGTTGCTCTGCGAGTCCAACGAGACCTTAGCCATGCGGTCCCAATAAATCGAGTTGCGGGTGCAGGAATATCGTTGAAGGATACCATTCTGAAAGGAAATTACTCTCTCGCCGCATTAAGTCAGACAGAAAAGCTTGTGCTGAACCTTGTCAAAAGGCTCGTTTTGGACATATATTGGGATAATCGACGGAAACAATGGCAAGTGTGTCCGGTAGCCTATCCTCATGGTACTCAAGCTCAACCCGCAATGGGGGCTACGCCGGATGAAGTTATACTGGGAAACGTCACTTGCTCCAAAGTCCCATATACTGTAGCGGATATTGGAGCGGCCATTCGTCAATCCTTAACATCTGGACAAGGCTCGCTTAACGCTGTGATAGTTCTCGTATTGAACCTCCACGACCTTCAAGTTCCCATCCCCGCCGATGCAACGGTTCCAACGACCTTTTCCACAATCAGTCAATCCCTTAATAGTGGTGGAATATTTACACCGAAAATGCTAACTCAATTCCGATCAAACCTTGCCGCCAACGCGACGAGTCCTTACTTTACCATGTCCACCGATCCAGCGACAGGCAAACTGACGACACCGAATGGATGGCCTATGGGGAAGTTGCTGATTGCCAATGGAACGCAGATTTTGGTCGGGTTTGGGCAAAATGGTCTGAGTGCAGGCTCGGGCTATGATCCCTCCGTCGATCAGGACGTTGTGTTCAGTGCCCAAGAGATTAACGGCATGCCCAGCATCAGCACTACAGAGCTGAATTCAGATATCACATCATGTGCCAAACCCGGTCCCACAATTGCCATGAATGGCACTGGCTTTGATGTTTCAGACTCACGGTATTCACTGCAACCTTCTAATGCAACGAACGACACATCGCTGTCTTGGAGTACATGGAGCTTCCCTTATGTAGTGGATACACCTTCCAAACCATTTACGCCAGCTGTTGTATCCAAGTTGGTTGAATGCGGCTTTCAACCTTTATTTTTGATAAATTTCTCCGTGGAAGCAATGAATGCTAGTGTGTGGAGTTGGGAGGATGGGCAGCCTTCTGGAGCGCATGGCCTGGATTGTGCGGTTATTAAAAGGAGTACGGGGCGATGGTTCGTTACCAGTATGTTCGTATGGGGGAACAGCTATTATAAGAAATTGCTAACTGGCTTGGCGTTTCTGGCGTAGGGCTGTGGATCGATGCCAAACAGCATTGCCTGTAGCTTGTCAGCGCCTCCCACCAAATGCAACCCAGGCAGATCCATATGATGTGCGTGTTTCTCATTACGCGGTCATAGCAGAGCTTCTCTGTGAGCTAATTCGGCTGTATTCATCAGTGGATCATTGTCAACAACAGAAAGATATTTGAAGAAGCTGTGGATGCCTGCCAGCCACCCTATGTCTTTAATGTTCCACGGACTGCACAAGAGAATGCCGCTCTGGCCGACGCACTTAGGGCGACAGATATAAGCAAAGCCTGGATCAACCTCAATCAGGTTTTGCCCACTTGTTGGGTTGCTGGATGGCAATCCAAGTGTCCTTATGATGTCAAGGTAACTCCAATTCTTTTGCGAATGCTGGTCTGTTGCTAATCAATTCGTGATTGGCATAGGATGCCAACCCTCAAGCGATCATTGGCGCAACACTTAAGCAGGGCATAGTGATCATCCTCATATTCAGTATCTTTCTGTTCTTTAAATGCCGGAGACAGTTGAGAGTCAGTCGCTTGAATAAGCGGAAAGCCGAAGTGAGACGCAAGATTCGGCAGAATGATTATGTTACTGTTCCGGTAAAGTGTCCTATGACATGCAATAACTTATGACAAGATGATTGATAAACTATTCCACTATAGGCGTGAACTAGAGTATTTGTCACTTTCATCATTGTACATTATACGATACCTAACCATTTCAGTAGTGCTTTTTTATTAATATACCAATATCATGCACTTGCATCAAAACGTTTTGGCATCTGACGAAGTGGAGCTGTTTGGATATCACTCATGGGGTAATTGGCAATCGATATCCTGTTATCGTATCTATCGCATCTACGAGTGTCCAAAAAAGAAGCCCTGCGGTCGCCCTCCTGGACCCCTTTGAAGGTGTGATGACCATTTGTGATTATGTGAGCGCGTTAGTCATTTATTTATCTTTTTCCCACGGTGCTCGAGTAGGATGAAAACGACCACCGTTTTGCACAGATGAAGAGCAGACAATGCAGAATATGGACAGCCTTTCAATGCACAATGTCGTCTTGACCATGTCCAGTTGTTTTACGGCGGTTGCAGTCGACAAGGTTCGTCGTGAACGGAATTTCCGCGGAAGAACGAGCGCGTCAAGGAGATGCCAGGGGTAGAAGCACGTTCTACAGATCAACGTCGATTGGTGCTACTCGCAAGGGACTAGAACGTCATCGTCTTCTCGAGAGAAAGAGCTTACGTTGCATGCCCCACAACCCCAAAAGCGCAGTCGCCCTCGGTTATAAAAAGGCACCCTTCCCTCGCCCCCCCGCTTTTGAACTTCACCGGTTGACGCTGACTGCAGACCCGCGATGGTTGGGGCGGCTGCTATACCAATGATGTCTTCGGACGGAGGTATACCTGACGATGCCTTCGGGCGGAGGGAGGACCCGTGGTTGAGATGGACTGTAGTCTGCGCTGGTGTGGAGCAGCTACTTATATCCCAATGATGCCTTCGGGTTGAGGGATATAACCCAATGATGTCTTCGGGCGGAGGGAGGGCCTGAGTGGGTGGTTGCATGGACTGCAGTCGCGATGGTTGGGGCGGCTGCTATACCCGATGATGCCTTCGGGCGGAGGGAGGACCTAGTGGGGTTGCATGTGGGTGGTTGCATGGACTGCAGTCGCGATGGTTGGGGCGGCTGCTATACCCAATGATGCCTTCGGGTTGAGGGAGGACCTTGGTTGAGATGGACTGATAGCTGCGTTGGTGTGGAGCAGCTACTTATATCCGGATGATGCCTTCGGGCGGAGGGATATAACCCAATGATGCCTTCGGGCGGAGGGAGGGCCTGGGGGTTGCGAAAGTTAAATAAAGGAAGAAAAGATCCAAAAGATAAATATGTTTATTGAAAACGAAAAATAATTCCATCCAACGTCCTTTGAACATCCCAATCATCTTCATCCAGTCGCACCATTCTAGTTCACAAGCCCAGTTCTTTTCTTATGTTTTCCACAGCCTCCAGACCTCTCTCGTGCTCTTCCTCCAATTGTCGCAGTTCATCCTGTTCTGCCATAACAGCCGCTGTCAGATCTTTTGCAGACTCTCTGGACGTCCTTACCGGAGATGATGATGAGAGACATAAAGTAGGTTTCTTGATGGTGGACGCGTAGGCTTTCATCTGTAATCAAAGTCAGCTTATGGGCGTTCTGTGCGGTTGGGACTTTGCAATGGAATGACCTTTTCTCTCTTGGCAATCGCTTGCTCCAATTTGTCAGACGACGCAAGTTTAGAGCCAATGAAAACCGACGCAGGTTGTTTCTTCCTTCCCTTTTCTGCGACCGACTGTCTCTGCTGAGGCGACGGAGAAGGACTCATTCTTTTATCTCCAGAGTCACTTCGTGCCGAATGTGCTCGTGCTGCGGTGGAAGTTTGGGAGTGCGGCCGGAGATCGGGCTGACTCCTTGAATCGGAGACGTTATGGGGAGTGGTGCGTGTGATGGCTCGGATTTGGGCGCCATACTCTTTTTGACGTTGCCATTTTTCAAGCTGTATTTTCACGGTTCAGATGAATGTCGCTGATGAAGAATACAAATCGACTTTTACCTTGGCTTTGTACTCTTCGCTTCCAATATCTGGGCCCAATCCACCTAGTTTGACCGGCTGTACGATCTTTGTGGTCTGTCGCGGCGTACGTTGATAGAGGGATACAGATGAGGACCTCGTCGAAGGTTCGTGATCTTCGGCTGCTCTTGCGACATTTGTTTTGGTAATTTGAAGCCCTTGTGGTGGATCATGTATTGGAGGTAAACTAACCGTTTCGGTGGAAGGGATGGCATGGGAACGAGCTCCCATATGCGAACCGAGTGAGGGAGACATGGCACCTGCAGGGATTGGAGTGAAGGATGTACTTGCCGATTGCCGTGCGGCAGGTAGAGGCGGTAACAAAGGCATGCTTCCATACTCTGCATATGTATTTGGTGGTTGCATGATAGGTTGGTGTGGGGATGGGGTATATGCGTATGGGCTCTGCATGTTCATCCGTATTCCAAACGTTCCTGTAGTGCCGCAAGTGTAGACGGTTGGATCTTGACCTGCAAGGACGTACGGATATCTAGGTGCTGATGATGGCTCATGGTGATCCGGTTTACGGCACCCAGGCCATAAGCCAGCTGTTTCTCTCAGCCTGTAATCATTCAGCGTAGGCTGCGACCGATACTTTGGTAAATGAGATGCTGATGGGCGCGATGTCGACAATGCTGGAGAGCTATTGTATTGCTTGTTTTCAGGGGCGTTCCGAACTCGTAGTGATGAGTGCTGTAGTGCCCTAGCAGAAGGATTCCCTCCATAGGAGCTTTGAGATGAGGACCGGCTTTGGGGTTGTTGGTGTGCAGGGTGTTTCGGTTGTGCGTGGGGCGGTACGAAAGAGAAGGAGAAAGCGGATGGCCGTGGGTTGCTTGGGACGACACTTTGCTGGTTATGCGACCGTTCGGGTTGGTTTGCCGCCTGCTTACCATAAACATAGGAAGGGGCCTCCCTTTGCTGTACAAGTGGTTGAGGAGTATTGGGAATACTTGGGAGACGGAGAACTGGAATAGATTCAAGATTGGGAAGATCGTAATCATCAGGATTCAAAGAGACGCTCGATTTGGAAGTGGAATCGGCATGGTCATTGTCGCTATCTTTACTACCGTCTTGCGATGGTGACGTTTCCTTCTGCACATCCCTCTCTGACGCTGCCTCTACATTCATCTTCCAGACAGTCGATTGCACAGCTTCTGTCATCTCTTTCATCGCCTGAAAGGACCAATTTGGGTATTTCCGCAGTACTCGCAGGGCTGCACTTTTTAGGCTTTCAGTTTCTTCGGTGTTGGAGGTTGCTTGTATTTCCGAGATATCGTGCGTGATTTCAGGTGACGTGAGAGTTGTGGTTGAAGGCATGTGGGGCAATTGTGTAGAAGCAATATTCCTGCCATTTCAACCATGGAGTTAACAAGGTGAAATTTGCGGAAAAAACCTGAGATATAAAACCTACTCTGTGGGGTTCATGACACTTGCGTCCTGTTTCAAAACATTCCTGTTCTCCTCACTGGAGGTAAGTACATGGCTCTCTGTTGGTTGTGATAAACTCCATTGTGATTCAATCATGTTGACGTCCACATCAGCGCTTTTAACAGCTGATGTCTCAGATTGCTGTTGCTTCTTCCCTCTGTTGTCCCCTTGTCGTGATTTTCCTCTAGAGGAGAGTCTTTTGTACTTTACTCGAGGTTTAAGAGAATGTGAAATCGATGGAGAACTCTTCCATCGACGCATCGACGCGGATGAAGCCCTAGGTGCGAGGCGTTTGGATGGAGCAACTGTTAGTGGCATGTTCTTTTTCCCGTTCACAATTGGGACGATGCTGCCGTCACGGGCGATCCGAGAGACCCTGGAGCCAAGCTGTCATAAAAGTTTTATGCACGTCGGTTAGCTGAAATAGATATGCCGTACGCATATTGGGTGATTGATACCAACTTTTATAAGAAATGCATCATGGGCTGCAGTCGCTTGTGATACGGCGTTGTCCAAAGGTGATCGCACATTAGCGGACGATAAGGTCGCCTCTGGTAGCATTTCAACACTGCTTGCGTCACGATGCGTATAGTACCGTTGCGCCCGAGGTAATGGAATACCACTGCCCAAGAGAGTGTCCTCGGAAGGTTGATTGTTCATTGTTTGGTTCCTGGGGGATGTAGAGTGTTAAGGATTTGGCATCCGGGCGGTAACGGGCCACGTATGATTAGGGATCTCTATGTCTCCCCGAAACCACCTTTGACCAGACTTTCATCCTAGCTGTACCAAAGATGGAACATATCGGATCTTTCAACATCCTTAATTCCGGCCTTGATTAATGATCGACCGTGGCGTTCGCGCACTGGCGGGCCAATCTTATCGCGCATTGACAGCAAACATCAAGGAAGAGCAGATGTGAGATGATACTATAGTCGGATGACTGCTCGAAGGAAAATAAGTCAAGTAGCATCAAACCATGACGATATCCTGGTTTATTGAATGATGCCTCGATTGAGATAATGCAGAATCGCGCCCCGTAAGCAAGTTCCGTAAGCAACCGTTTTCAATTATTGGGCAGTTGCCAGAAACATTTGTATACAAATCGTTCAACAACTGTAGTAGCCGACACAAATCTACTAAAAGATCTGACGAGTATGGAACGATACAATGAGCGTTGTCCCTGCAAAAGCACCATTGCTCCGACTGCCCTTGGTGACCTACTACTCTTTCAGTAGCGATTAAATTGCATTTTGCATTGGTGAACGATCCATCTCTTGTTAATTTACGTTTATTTTCAAGAGCCCAACAGGCTACTCGCATAAATTCGCCCATAAGTAGCGCATGGGGCCATAAAACCAGCGTTGTGGCCAGCCGATCGCAATAGCCCAAAACAAATCCTAAAATTCGATTATTCCGTGAATCGAACTTTGCCATGCAGCACAGTCATGCCGAGTGGCACAGTCACCTCAAGGGGTGTGTTTTAAGCCGAAGTTTCGATTCACCACGTTGGGCGACAAGGGCTGGGCTGGCAAGGTGGAGGCTGTGGGCGGAAAACCACTTGGCAACACCTGTACAATTCCGTATTTAAGCTGAGTGCTCATCCCGCTTCCCCCGCTTTCCCTAACCAAGTCGCATTCCGGTCATCCTCGAATTCCTGTCATGCATGTCCCCACATCCATTATTCTCGCGGTTGCCGTTGCGGCTGCACCAGCGCTCGCAGCCTTGTCTGACTGCCAGAAATCTATTGTCCAGCAACTGACAAATACATATGAAAACAGTCAGCTCAACTTTGCGTTTGATTACTGCGAGAATATTAAAGATGGAAGAGGATATACTGTTGGAATTGTAGGGTTTACAACGTATGTTTTCCTTGTGCTCGTGTGTAGGCATATCAGATAGACCCTCTAACCTCACACCATCTCCTCCAATCTCCATAGCGCAACACGGGATGCATTCGATGTTGTCAACACATATACCAAATCTTCAAATTACACGGGGGAATTTGATCCCTACTATGACCGCCTAAAGCAACTCAATCAAACAGGCGATTCATCAACATCCGGGTTGAATGGTTTCTGTGATGCTTGGTACACAGCCTCATCCAACCCAGCATTCCGAGCAGTCCAGGTCGCAAAAGCCGATACACTCTACTACGTCCCCTCACAAGGCTACGCTGAACAGCTCAACCTGAATTTGCCAGTCTCCAGAGGCCAGTTGTACGATGCGGCCATTCAGCACGGCACGGACCCTGATCCTGATTCTCTACCTTCGATGATATCGCGGGTTCCAAAACCTTCTGATATGGATGAATTGACATGGATAAGTAACTTTATGAAAGAACGCACTCGCACGTTGTGTAACACCGCGAATAAGGCGACACAAAAGGCGTGGTGCCAATCTACTTCCCGTGTGCGATCATATCAAACCATTTTGAGCAATAAGCCAGATTTTAACGATACAGTGGACGCACTGGACAATGATGGAAAGCCTCTGACAGTGCAGTGTGATTTGGGACTCTGGACGAGGTACATTCCTGGCCCGGCTGCCGGCGGAAAGGCTGGATTGTCGGGTGCAGCCGTTGCGGGTATCGTTATTTGCATTTTGTTGGTAGTGGCGGCCATTGCGTACTTTGTGTACAGGCGGTGGAAATCTGGAAGCTGGAGACCGGTGGGAAAGGGATCCTTGGTTTG